TTTTTTAATTTAGAAATAAAATGTATCACAACAACAGCACAAAGAATGGTAGGTAAATGTTGGTATGCTATTATGAGTTTTTTATAGTACATGTGAAGTGGTATATCAATATGAACTATTACATAATAATATTTATAACATTTATTTTCTATACATAAGTATATATGCATATACATACATGTGTTCTGAGACAGGGCCCATATGTTTCACCATATGGGTACACAGCACAACAAAGTTTATAAGCTCCTTGTTACGAGGAGGAACATAAAGGATCCACCAGGTGACTCGAGATTATCAGCAGTGGAGACGTTTTAAGGTGGGTGACAAAATGACTTCATTCTTTCCATCTCTTTACCTTTCAACTATAAGACATTAATGCTCCCTGACAAGGATAAGATGGATCCTATGATGAATTTTGCTGCCACAGCAACTGCAGCCACATTATACCTCCCCCTATTCTAATGATGGGTCACTTCCTGTTTCAGCCTCAGATCAGCCACAGTGACAGAAGCCCATGGAATCAGAGGTGAAGTTTAACAATGGCCACTGCCTCCTCTCTTCATTTAACCCAAGAGGACATCGGAAACAGCCCAAAGACCCACTGAGGGAGATGGACATTGTTTCCCAGAAGTAAATACAGCTCAGCTTGTACTTTGGAACAATTGTGAACCTTGCTACTTGCACAATCTACTAGCAAAGGTTATGCGGTGCCTGAACATGATCATGGCAGAATCACCGGGCCTCGTCACCATCTGCCTTTTAGGATATCTACTCAGTGCTGAATGTACAGGTTTGTTTCCTTTATAAAGATACATTCAATGTGCTTGGCTTTTAGATATAGAAACGTCTGGGGCTGTCTTCTTCATTAAATAATGATCACAGGATTTGACCACAATGTTTAAGATTCTACTAGTTAGCATGTAACCGGGTTGGTGAGTACTAGTTCTCTGGTGCTGGTTCTTCCTCATTTTTAAAACTAAATAGATTTACAATGTTTATAGTACATTTTTTTAATGGACACTGTTGGGCTTATGATTTGACAATGTAATTCCTTGGAAAAGTCATCTCCTTGGTTAAAAAAATAAATAAAAGGGGGAAATGTTTTAACAAGGAAACAGCCGAATGTGGAGAAAAAATTAACTGTCATTTTGTGGGGTTTTAACTCATTATTTTGAAATCAAAATGGGAAACATTAAAGCAAAAACAATGGTTTTATTTACACACAAAGTTTGATTTTAAGACATGATGTGATTCAAAATTTTATAACTATTTAATGAGTCATGCCTCTAATTTTTAGTCTATAAAATTATATACCTTCAATTGAAAGTTTTAGTTAAAATACAAACCTTTCATTAGTAAGTTGTTATTTATCACTGAAGTTTTCCATGGGTGAGGAAGAAACTATTTTGTCTGATTCTAAACATCTCGGAGTTAATAGAGGGGGAAACTCAGTACTCACTTGAGCTCTTAGGACAGCAAAGCAAGTACAAGAATTAATGTCAAGTAGGAACTTAGTTAAAGCGATTTACATCACTTGGTTTTTTTTCACAACTTTACTGACTTTATGCATTCCCCAAAGGCAGGCACATAGGGAAGAAATTACCCCATTTAGACAAACAGCATGTTCTCACAGGAAGCATTTATCACACTTACTTGTCAACCTATTATGATCAAATCTAGTAGCTGACAGTGGAGGATCAGGGGTGCCAACCCTAAGCATCCCCAGAAAGCAGACTGGCCCGAGGTTCCCACTCCAGACATGATGTCACACTGAAATGCAGAAATAATGGTGCGAGAATGCAGAGGTTAAATCAAGCCAGCAAACTGGCTAGAGTCAAACAATAAAGAAATTCAGCATGAACACTCACAAAGTAGGACAGAATGCTAACTCTTTACACACATCTCATCAGTGTGAAATCTAGGAGGACAAAGGATCCAAACCCTTCCTTCAAGATAAGTGCTGAGATGATGGAGTAAATTTTAAGAGGACTGCTGCCCCCTTGAAGACCTCAGATGTAGGAAAAAGGATAGATCCAGAGAAAAAAAGAAGGACTAGGATTTCAGAGCTTGGGAAATAATGACTAGAAGAGATAAGCCCGAAGGGAGGTGAAATATATGACCCTCAGACAATGGTGAGGAGAAAGGCAGTGTGATTCCAGAGTCACCTTAGTCAGAGATAATAGGTCCTTGAGCAGAGCACCAAGGCGCCTTCCCTAAGGACGGACAGTGTTGATGCAGTGCTCTCCTCTACTGTTGAACCACCACTGGCTTCTAAAAGCAGTTTCTATGAATGATTTTCTGAGATGTTGCATTTTCATGGCTGCTGCCCTTAGATATTATTGTATCAATTTAGAATTTTGAAATCAAATGTGTTCCATAAAACCAATTCAGTTTTGTAAAGCATATGGACCCAACCTGTCTTTCATTTAGAATGAATGAATGAAATAAATGAAAGACAGCTTCAGTCCACACGCTTTACAAAACTTTACAAAACTAGGTGACTACTACGGTGCCAGGTACTGTGGCAAGGTACTAGGGGCTTGGGGATAAACCAGATTCCCTCTTTGACCTAAAGCACCATGAGGTCAGCTGAGAGATTTCAACATAACACGAGGAGATGTATACCAGCTGCTAAAGGGGCACAGAGAAAGGAACACATTAACTGGGGAGACACTGACAGAGAGACCATATTTTGAGCTGGGTCTTAAAAAATAAGTAGGTACTCTCTCCTTAAATGACTGATCTAGGTCATCCTGTGAAGAGAGGATCACTCACGTGCAGAGATCCAGATCCACAAAGAATGTGAGGTCTTTCAGGAACTAAGTATGTTTTCAATATTGAATATGACAGGTGAGGCAGGGTCAGGTCATCAGATGAGGAAGGCCCTAAATGAAGGAGTTTGGACAACGGAATGCAATGTGGAGTCATCAGAAGTGTAAACATGAATACCACTGATGGCTGACTCGGGCTGCTCAGCCTGGCAACGTTCTCATGAACTGTGTGAGGAAGGGGCGGCCAGACAAGGGGAGAGCAGTCTTGAGGCTACTGTAATCATCCAGGGAAGGCATGAGGGCCTGAACCTGGACATTAGCTGCACAGACAGAGAAGAGGGAATGGAATGCAAGTGACACTGAGGAAGTAGAAATGATATGACTTAACCACCTGGGTATGGAAGGGGAACGGGTTTAGAGGAAGTGGAAAGACCATGTCTTGAGCATTTAGGATACAGCACAGTGCCTAAGAGCATGGACTGTGCGGTCTGACTGCCAATGTCTAAATTCTGGCTCTGACACTTTAATATATCACTTGGGGCAAATCACTTAACCTCTCTGAACCTCCGTGTTTTTGATTTACGAAAATGAGACGACAGCACCTCTCTCATGGGACTGCCGTGAGAAGGGAATGAAATAATGGATGCGAAGCACCAAGCACATTGTTCAGCACATCAGAAGCATTAAATAAACATCAGCTGTTATCAGCCACATGACAATGGACAGTTACAAAGTTGGAAAGACAATCTGGAATTCCGAAGATATATCTGACTGGAGATGGATATTCGGAACTCACTGTCCTATAGACAGTAGTTACAACCACGTGTGTGAGGATCCAGGGAGTGAGCATGGATCTTGTGGCACCTAGTACAGTGCCTGGCAGTAGTGAGCGCTCAGAAAATTGTGTTGAGTCGGGGCTGGACTAGGGTGAGGCAAGCAGGGCATAAACATACTTGCACACACTGAGAGAGAGTGACTCCGTAGATTCTGTGCCCTAGGGGCCTTGTTTACCTCACCCCAGCCCTGGCCCTAGCAAGGATGTATGGAGTGAAGAGGGACAAGGCTGAAGCTGGAGGCTGGAGCCTGGGAGAACTCTGAACATATAAGGGGCAAGCAGAAGAAGGGGAATGAATGGATGCAAGTGGTGGATGAATAACAAGAATCAGAGCGAAGAGGAGAACCAGGAGAGAGTGATTTCATGAAAAGAGCACCCTGAAGAGGGAAAGATCAACAATTAGAAATGTTTCAGAGCAGGCAGGAGATACAGAAGCTCAAAATTACCCTTAGGGAGGCAGACCAGACAGAGGAGTAGAAAGGAAGAGAGAAAACCAACATACACCAGCCTGTACACATGATCTCACTGATCCTGTCAGCAACGCTGGGAGGTAGGCAGTCTGATGATACTACTGTTATACCCATTTACACTTGACAAAGTTAAGCTGCAGAGATTACGTGACCTGCCTGAGGTCTCACTGCCAATAGCTGGTAGACATGTGACTCAAATCCAGGTGTGTCTGCTCTGACTCCAAACCCCTATTTTTCCACTAGACCACACTGTAAATGGATACAGGCACAGATGCTACTGTAGGAGCGCCCAGGGCCAAGCACATGAACTGGCAAGCAGAGAGGAGGGCCTGGTGGAGGCTGGAAGGTGTCGATATGCCATGGCACCCAATTGCAGCTTGTGGCTTTCTCCCAGGGCGCCTGGCTGCCTGGGAAGGGAAGGAAGAGGCAGCTGGCGGCACTAACCTAGTGGTTGGGATTGCGGGGTATTGCAGCACTGAAGAAGGGGTGAAGGGAACTGAGAAGGTTGGCAAGGGAAGAGTTGAAGAGAAAAAGTCTAAGCTAAATTCAGGGAAAAAGTAAAGCCCACGGGGACTTGAAGAGCAAGAGAAAAGTGAGAGGCCGTTAAGGGACTAGAAGGCTCCATAAAGTGAACAGCTGCAATGGAAATAAGGAACTTCGGTTTGTTTCTTTTCCTTTCTTTTTTTTTTTTTTTTTTTTTTGGCGCTAATGAGAAAACAGTCCCAAAATGCCCTGGAGAGTTCACGTTATAAACACCTGGTCCTGTTGAGATGGTATCAGACAGTCTCTAGAAGAAAGGAATAACTCCAGGCAGCTTCTTGAGTTCCTGTTATTAGTTATAGATATAGATACTACATCTATATCTGTCTATCTAGAGAGAAATACGCACAGAGACAGAGAGTGAAACAGAAAGAAGAGGCTGAGGTATGGAGAGTGGCGGGGAGGGGCTGGGGTGGAGAATTAGGTTAGGGACCTCAATCCCAGAGTTCAGGAGTGCGTTCCTAACAGGCTAGACAGTCAGAGCTAAAATAAACCACATCCTGAATCCCAGAGAAAGACTTATGTCACTGGTATTCCTAGAACACGTGCCAACTTAAGGTGCTGTGAGTCTGAAGGTTAAAAAAACATGAATGCAGTGGTTTTTCTTTAATATCTAGTGAGAGACAGCAGGGTTGCATTTAGGCTTCTGCTCTTCCAAGGGAAATGTGCTCCGAAGTCATTTGGGCAACTGCGTCCTGTAAACACAGCCCGGCCAGCGTGATGGATCACCTTGCAAGGATCTGCAATTAGTTATTTTCAAATGATGACAAAGTGTGAAGTTAACTGCTTTTATCTCAGAACTTTCCTTTTCATCCAGAGCAAATTCAAATATGATTGAAAATCTGACCTTTCATTACCAGAGTTCTCTTGACTAAGAGTAAAATTGAATTTTAATTCCTAAATCTCCATGTGTATACAGTGCCATGAGAACATCATAGATTTTGGCTCCGTGCCCCAAAGATAAATTGGCTTTGGGATTACTTGGATTAAAAAGAAAGCCTTTCTTAAGAGATGTATTTAATTTTCATGATGTTTTCTTTTTCTTTTAAATTTCAGTTTTTCTTGATCGTGAAAATGCCACCAAAATTCTGAATCGGCCAAAGAGGTATAATTCAGGTAAATTGGAAGAGTTTGTTCGAGGGAACCTTGAGAGAGAATGTATAGAAGAAAAGTGTAGTTTTGAAGAAGCCCGAGAAGTTTTTGAAAACACTGAGAAAACTGTGAGTATTTCCACATAACATCCTTCAGATGCAGAGCAAAGAATAGAAAACCTTTAAAAAGAAAAGGTGGGGGGACCATACTTCTCTTTGGAATTTTAAAATATCTATACATACACGTGTTTTACAAATGTTATAATAGAGAAGGAATCAAATCGAAAACATTTTAAATAGTACCATTAACTTGTCTTCTTTTTCGTTATAGACTGAATTTTGGAAGCAATATGTTGGTAAGCAATTCATTTTATCCTCTAGTATACGAAACATTTGAGAATTATGTATTTTTTTCTTCTGTGTAAACAGATAATATATTAAACTGTGTCAAAAGGGCTCAGAAAAATAAGTCCAACTCTTTTTACCCAAAATTGAACGGTGAGAGACTCCAGGTTTATGCCAGCGTGGGAGGTATCCTCTGGCAGATACGCTTACTTCTTCCTAGGGCTTCAAAAGGAACATCGTTCCACCCCAGGAATCTGGAAGGGAGAGACCAAAGAGAATTGCATCTGGGACTGAATGAGAGTTTGCCATCCTCAGCAGAGAATCAGAGAATGCTGACTGACTTACATGTCTACTGCTTAAAAGTGCTCCTCCTTCTGGCGGCCTGCAAGGCCCTCCTGATTGCCCAGCCCCTCCCTCCCCGCTGCCCCTCTGACCTCCTCTCCTCCTCACACATCCTGGGCTGCTGCGGCTCCTTGCATGCTCTAGGAGTGCTTCCATTTCAAAGTCTTAGACCTGATTGTTCCTTTACTGTGGAAGGTTCCTCTGCCAGGTTCCCCTAGGCTCACTCACTCACCTCCTTCAGGTCTTTACCCAAATGTCACCCTCTCAATGAAGCCTGCCTTGATCATCTATTAATACTTCGACCTGCCCCCCCATAACCCCATCACTTTAGACACAGTATCCTGCTCTATTATTTTTCATAGCACTTTTCACCCCTGAGGTATCAATATAATGGTCTTACGTATACTATTTATGTCTCCCACCTCACTAGAATGCAAGCTTCATGTTGGCAGGGGTATTCAACTGTTTTGTTTATTGATGTAGTCCTAGTACCTCGAGCAGTATCTGGTACAGAAGCACTGAGTAAATATTTGTTGAATGAATTGACCAAAAGGAGGAAAAGTCAAAACTTTAATGACAACTAAGTTTTAAAACTAATTTAAAATCCAGCAGCAGGATTTTGAGGCAGTGTAACTTTCCCAGCTTGATTTACCTAAGACCATTTGCATGGACAGAAACTAACCTGGACAGCCAATTCACTGAATTCCATCAGTTCTACTTTCCCAGATTCTATTCTGTAGACACTAATGGACTTATTCATACTCTTGTAACTCATAATTTCTCCACTTTGTTTTTAAATCATGAGGGAAGAAGAGGTCCATTCTGTTACATTTGCTTTATCTGCCTTTCCTCGTTCTTAGTAATGAATGCTACCACGCCAACTCTCTACTAAGGTACTGCCCTACAGTTAGTCCAAACAAGTCTTTTTATTCTCTATTTCTAATCTATTTAAAATTTTGAATCTTGTATTTTAAAGCAAATCAATTTCTACCTTTCCTCCCCAAATATTCCTGGCTGCATTTAAACTCTCATGGTCCCTTCATTGCCCACCCCCCCACCCAGTTGGCCCCCCACCTGTGAGTAGAGGTTCATCAGTACCTCTTAAACACCATATTTTGAAGTTGGCTGCCTACCTTCTAGGTCATAGGCTGTGTTGTTTACTGTAACTCAGGTAAAGATACCTGGAAAACATCAAGGGCATGATTCTGTTGTTGACCTGAAACAAACAGACTCCAGCAAAGATGGGTTTATTCAGGATCAGCAGAGAATTGCAATTCAGGGTCTACAACAACCATGAGCCACGTGCAAGTCCCTGCATGGTAGGGGACAGACAACTCCTTTAGAGAGGGGAAAAGGAAGTAAGGAGGGCTACAGTAAACAAAGAGTCCCTGGCTTTTCATTGGCTGAGTCCTTGCCAGGAAAGGAGCCTGTCTTCTTCCTGTTGGGCTCTGCTATTGTCATAGAGCATGAGAGCTCTGCCCTCCAGTCTCTTGACTCTTTTTTTTTAAAATAAATTTATTTATTTATTTTTTGCTGCGTTGGGTCTTCGTTGCTGCAGGCGGGCTTTCTCCAGTTGCGGCGAGTGGGGGCTACTCTTCCTCGTGGTGCGCAGGCTTCTCACTGCGGTGGCTTCTCTTGTTGAGGAGCACGGGATCTAGGCGCGAGGGCTTCAGTAGTTGTGGCACATGGGCTCAGTACTTGCGGCTCGCGGGCTCTAGAGCGCAGGCTCAGTAGTTGTGGCGCACGAGCTTAGTTGCTCCGCGGCATGTGGGATCTTCCCAGACCAGGGCTCGAACCCGTGTCCCTTGCACTGGCAGGTGGATTCTAAACCACTGCGCCACCAGGGAAGTCCCTCTTGACTCTACTTAACTGAGGTTTCCGTTTATTAATTTTTTACACTGTCACTACTGCTTTGTCTGCTAAAAATAAAACAAAAACAAGAAAAGAGAAAAAGAAAACCCAACTCCACGGCTTCTTTTCACTCTGCAGTCGAGATTCCCAACCGCCCCCAAAATAGCCTATGCTGTTTCTCCCTGTATGGGCTTTCTCACATGGTAGGGTTGCAGGCCCCTCACTCCTGCCCTACTCTCTTCCATCATCTCACCAAGTAAGGAGCCTGGTGAAGAGGAAACATCACCCAACCACATTAACCAGCATCTGCCCAGCCCTTTACAGAGTGCCTGTCACCTTTAATCCTCACACCAACCCTGTGAGCAAAGCACTATGAACCTCATTTTACAGAAGAAGAAACTGAGATTTAGGGAGGTTAAATGACTTGTCAAAGGTCACCCAGCTAGGGAGTCATGGAGCCCAGAAGAGCAGCCAAATTCTCCACTGCCCAATCCCCACTTTCTCTATTACCCCTCCCGGCCTTCAAATCTAAATGCAGTTATTCATTAAACCACCACCTGGTAGGCTTAAACAGGAAGCTCTCACTTGGCAAGGTCTTGCCCCTTGTTGTCTTTGACCCCTACAGTCTGTGGCTTTGCTTCAGCCCGAAGTACACACAGACAAGCACCCAAAGGAGGACTAAATGCGGGATGAAATGACACTCATTTTAAAGATATGTCTCAGCAAATGAGTTGCTGTGTAGCTGGCTGCAAGCCCAGAGCCTTTCAGTGAAACATCCTAAATAATTCAGCTCCGTTGGTCTGTAATATAAAGTGCAAATGTGGCTCGTTTTTTTAGACCAGTTCTGAACATCAATAATAATAAACCAGAGATAACGTATTTTGTTTTTGGAATTGGAACAAACTGAAGTATCTGTGCAAAAGCACACTGGATCAAGGGACAGAGGGGGCAAGGTCTAATTTTTACAACAAGCAGTTTTCCAGAGAGGGACTATTCCTAAGAAAGGGGTGCTAACCCCCAGCCAGTGGGACCTAGACACATGCTCCTGACAGCGAGCACGACAGACACTCTCCTGCTGTCCCTAGAGCAGGCAGGGGGCCACACACTAGATGTCACGGAGCTTGGCTCTAAAATATGAACGACCATTAGAAATTTCTCTTAAATTGCCCCCTTTCGTTCACTGTTTTATTCTTACACCATCTTTATCATTTACTCTTTTGTTACTCATATATTAAGCCTTGCTGATCTCGCTCCCAGTTTTCTTCAGGGCTGTCTCTCAGCTCACAGTGCACACCAGCCTCCCTTCTGGCTCTATGCATCCCTTTCTCCTGAAGCTTCCTTAGAAGTACGGATGGAGGCAGAGCTCTCAGAAACCAGACTTAAAGGCTCCCTCCACATCCTGACCCTTCCCCTCTTACCTATTCCTTCCTGCTGTTTTCTGATGACCAGTATCCTCAAAGGCTCTCCAGAACTCTGCAAATGTAGAAACTTCAGGAAAGGTGGGAAGGAAACATAACCAATCTATATATAAATAAAGCACATTTTCAGAACTTTTTCTTTTTTAATTCTTTGTATTGAAAGTTGTTTCTCACTTTACCAAACCATCTGGGACCTAATCACAGACAGTAGAATATCTTTCAGGAGTAAAGCATCTTTTGTACTGTTTGGAACGATCACTGCATACTCTGCTTAAAAGTGAAGTGATAGGGGCTTCCCTGGTGGCGCAGTGGTTGAGAGTCCGCCTGCCGATGCAGGGGATGCGGGTTCGTGCCCTGGTCCGGGAAGATCCCACATGCCGCGGAGCGGCTGGGCCCGTGAGCCATGGCCGCTGGGCCTGCGCGTCCAGAGCCTGTGCTCCGCAACGGGAGAGGCCACAACAGTGAGAGGCCCGCGTACCGCAAAAAAATAAATAAATAAATAAAAGTGAAGTGATAAGATGAGGAAGTGGATGCATGTGCGCCATGCCTAGGCTGCCAGGTCCCTGAGTGGAGTTGCTATCTGTTACCAAGCTCATGAGTGGAGTTGCTGTTACCTAGCTCAGCTTGCTCTACAAGACCTGTGACAGAGCAAGCCTTGTACAACACAGAGATGATTGTTGAAGCAATGTGATTTCATTGAGAATTAACTCCATCATCGTTCGATAATGAAGGATTGAAAATTCTTCTCACACTCTGCTGATAGAGTACATCTCTATATTCAGACGTTCTTTTCCCTCTTCCTCCTCCCTTCAGTTACATAAACAATGTACATGCCTTCCTCGGGGCCATTTCCTAGGACAATGTTAGCCTAAGAACCTTTACTTGTTTTTAGAAACTTAGGAAGACAGGGACATCCCATAAGCAGCTGGTTTCCAGGTCAGCAGTCTTGCTCTGACCCTAAAATCAGGCTCCCCTCTCCATGAGTCTGTGCAGGGAAGACTAAGCATTCTAGGCAATGGATCTGCTAATTCACCTTCTTAATCTATCTCGAAGATGGAGATCAGTGTGAGTCCAATCCATGTTTAAATGGTGGCCTGTGCAAGGATGACATTAATTCCTATGAATGTTGGTGTCAAGTTGGATTTGAAGGAAAAAACTGTGAATTAGGTAAGTAACTATCTTTGGATTACTCGTGGTTCAAAATTTCCCTTTGAAACCAGATGCAACTGGAAAATGCAATGTGTATGTATCATAATTTTCTCTTAAATTATGGTAAAGAACCATTTACATGAGATCTACACTCAACAAATTTTGAAGTGTATGATACAGTACCGCTAACTCTAGGCTCTATGCTGTACAGCAGACATCTAGACCTTATTCCTCTTGCATAACTGAAACTTGATACCTGCTAAACAACAACTCCCCATTTTCCCCTCCCCCTGGCCCCTGGCAAGCACCATTGTATTCTCTGCTTCTATGTGTTGGACTATTTTTAGACATCTCATATAAGTGGAATCATGCAGCATTTGTCCTTCTACGACTGGCTTGTTTCATTTACCATAATGTCCTTCAGGCTCATCCATGTTGTTGATTATGACAGAATTTCCTTCTTTTTGAAGGCTGAATAATATTCCATTGTATAAAACATACTTTCAAAGCTTATAAACATTCATTTTATCTGCAGTCATAGTTTCCAGGATGTGCTCAAGAAACTAGATGAAGAATAGTAAGATTTGGTAGCTAGTAGGAAGTGGTAATGATGTTCCGTTAGCATATTCATCCTCGATACAACCACATGTAGTCAGCACCATTACCCTCTCCGTTCTACGCAAATGAGAAAAGTGCAGCTCAAACAGCTCAAAAATCACAGAAGCAGTAAACAGTTGAGCCAGGACTTGAACTTCAGTTGGTTTGGCCAAAACCCATTCTTCTAACTGCTACCCACAAAACACAAAGAAAACTGACCCATAACATTGTGAGAACTCGTGACTAAATTGCTATCAACAAAAGCAGTGGAAGTCAACTAAGTAAAGAATTGGGGTATGGGAAGGCCAATTCTCCCATATACTAGGCACTTCTCCACGCATACGAACCACTTCACATATGAAATTTGTTGACAAAAATCAAAACTCATTCCTGAATTTGACTATACTGATTACGCTGAAAGAATTACATAGAAAATCTAGGATCATTGTGCATCTTTTCTTTGCATATCCTAGAATTTTTTTGTTCTGAGATTTAGGCAACTGGAACAGTAAACCCCAAAGTCCTTTACCTACTTGTTTATTACCTCTAGATGCAGGATTACTGGTATCTGATTGTGAAAAGCATACAGTGCTAATGACGGATTCTCTTTCTCCTCTGAAACTCCAGAAGAATAGAGATGCAGTCCTAGGGAAAGAATTTAACGCCACAGGCTACATGACTAACACCACAGGCTACATGACTAAGGGCAAAGAGTAGAAAATTAGCAAGACTCTATTAAGGCGTTATGGCAACCCACCTGACACACAGATGAAAAGGGCATAAAACAAAATGAAACGCAGCAGCTGCACTTGTCCTATTGAGAAGGGAAAAAGTCATCTCTAATGCTGTTCAGAAATCCTTTCAGTGCTAAAGAGAAATCCATTGATCATCTTCCTTTGAGATCCAAAAGATAAAAAGGAATAGAAGATAGGAAAAAGAAAAGGTGGCAGGGCAAAAACATTAAAAAAAAAAAAAGAAAAAAGGAGATGCAGGTGGATGAACTGTACCCCAGGCTTGGACTCCCACTCCTGCAGGCTTCCCAGCATGGGGACAAACCGATGTCTGGGTTCCCTTTCCTATGGGTGTGTTCATTGGCTCAACACCTCTGAAGTGCTACTTTCATCTGAAAGGTTATAATTTCAAGTTCAGATTGACCTAGATAAATCCGATCCTGCTATTATGGAAACCTACAGAAACTGATGGAGTATCAGCTTAAATAATATAACTATTGGAGCTCAGGGAATGAAGGACTCAACTGGTCTCCGTTAAGAATGAAGGGCATGTGGTAGCAAAGTATAACTGAAAACAGTGTTTAGTATTAAATATTCCTAAATGTCTTTAGTTTAAAAATAAAGACACTTTAAAAGAGGCAAAGAGCCCTGAGCAATGTAGCTATAAGCACAAAACTGCTATAACAGGTTTTGCTACGTGTGTGAGGCTACAGTCTACACAGCAAGAGTGCTAAGTCTACAACGGGCACCATCTCAGGCCTCTCGGGTTCCCCACGTTTTGGTTTGGTCAGGGCTCTGCAGTGACACTGCAGCCACCACTACACCTGGCCTCTAGGGTGTCTTGAGCTCCCCCAGCCCATCTGATCAAGGTTTAGAAAAATCCTCCCAGCTTCTTAGTTCAGGAACAAAGTGGGAATTCTCTCAAAAAGCTCTTTATCTCAGACACTAGAGGAAAGCAAAAGCATATACAAACTCCCATTTAAGCTGTTGCTTCAAACTGAACTAAGAACTAATCTCAAAAGCCGCTAGAAAAACAACACAGTTTATGGAGTATCTGGGCCCCAAGTCCCTTGCTTCACCCTGTCTCGGAAAGGGAATGAGATTTCCACTGTTAAATCCTTGTTGTTTTCCTCTTCTCTTGTTCATCAGGCTCCTCTCCAGGGGAGAGAGGTGCAAATATTCAGGGCACGCTTTCTAGTTAGAACAATTAATTGGCTATTGTGTCCCTTTGGCTGGAATAAAGACCACTGTATGTGCCCAGCTACACATCACATCTGAGTCCTTTTCAGATAAATCAAAGTCTATAAGAACTTGGTCATTCCTGTCCCTTCTAAAGAGTACAAGAGGCATTTCCCCACAGTAACAGACGATGGAAAGAAAATCAGCATATAAACACTTTTTAATCTTTTTTCGTTTTGCTAACACGTCACAGACACTACTAATTTACTGCGTATTTCTGTGGAGTAGAAAAAAGAAAATATCTTGAGTTTAGCCGAACAACAACATATTCTGTGATACACTGGTTAAACAGAACATCTTTTGTCCAAGCTTTGGTTTTCCCATCCCTGAATATACCAGGGAAGATGAAGGCAGAGTAAAATGAAGCAGAACACGATAACTTTGTAGTAGGCATGAGGGGAATTAGAAAGAGGTATCTGTGCTAGCTGACACGGAGGGAGAAGAACAGATGCTCTGACATGTCCTTCCACAGATATTCTAGGCACTGAGATCAGCCCCAGGACCAGGGAGAACCCACACCCAACACAGTGCCTGACGTCCGAGTGCTCAAGAAGCAATTGATGAATGAGGCCCACAGTGACTGCCCCTGAGGTCCAGGACTACAGACCTCTCAACTGGAACTCCTCGTGCTGTTATTCTCTTTCCAGACTCGAGTTCTTTACCTGAGGTCAAAAGACTGCTGGTCGGACAGCAATATTTCCCACCGCGTGTGCAAACCAAGCCAGAGGACAGCAACAGCGGCAACACACTGGGCTGCAAAGAGCAATGACGAATGAGGAAAATGACAGAGAGGTCTAGTTACCTAGCCAAGGACGCCGCATCAGAATCGGGGAAAGCACCCTGACTTTACCCATTCCCGTTGTGCGTGGCCTGGACCAAAGTAGTCAGCACCTACCACCCACCTCTGTGAACTTAGCACAATCTCATATTGACTGAACACTCCCTGCAGGTGGTATTTGATTTGGCTGAACACTCTAGTATTGCTTTGTAGCAACAAAATGATTGCTAGTAACATGAGAAGAGCTCAGGGATGTAATCACCAATAGTGTAATCACCAATAGTGAGGAGAAAGGTCTTTAAAAAATAAATACATAAATAAAAAGGATCAAGTGCCACCTTTTTGGATCATGCACTTAGTGGATTATTGGTAGCGAAGGTTAAAGCTCAGGCTGGTTCCTTTGTCCACCTAGTAACAGTTGATTTGCCTCCCCTTATTTCTTGAAGTATCAGTAAGGAACATGAGTGAATCATTACATTAGCCTATGCTACCTATGTAAAATGTAATTAGGAAATTTAGATCTGTCACTCAAAAATCCATAATATACTCCAAAACCATATAGTCACTCGGTTAGCCTGGAATCCCCCAGGAAAAAAGAGTCTCTGACACAAGCTTATCTATTAGGGTGTGCAATTCTAGGGGGGGCAAAAGTAAGGGATGGGGGGAGCAAGGCAGTAAGGAAAGGAGAACCAAGAGTAAAAGGAGTCATCCACCCTCATCTGCAACTGACTGTTTGATCTCCGGGGACTGTTTTCCAAGAAGCCACGTGAGCTGGCCTCAGGAGAGTCAGCCTCGGAGGGAGAAGAGGTGAAAGAATCTGTCCATCAGCACCCTTCTCCAGATGGTCAGTACTTCAGCCTGTGCGGCTTTAACTCCCCTGCATCACCAGGCTGCACACGCTGGGGCCCCCTAGAGGTCACGCGGCATCCCAGGCCTCAGCATCAACCCGGGAACGCCAAGCTAAGAGGCGAGAGGCACACAGTGCAGATCTGAGCCCAGGCCATTCAAGGCTGCACCTGGACAAGGCCAGCGGAAGTCCATGCAGAGCTGATCACCAGGGTGCTGGGGACGGACGTGGGTGAGGCTGGTGGGGACTAAGGTGGTGCACAAAGAGGTGGCTAACACAGTCGCTCATGTTCAAACTCTCCATGTTCTAACTGCACTGACAAGTGAGCATTTCTCTTGAAGGCTGTACTGCTGTTGAGCCTGCAGGTAAGGGGGAAGGTGCCTTCCATTCACTGTGTTCCTATGCTGCTCTAGAGACAGAAATAGGCCCAAGGGCAGAGCCTGTTTCTCTTAACTCAGCAGGTCTCAGCCAGCAAGTCCTAAACCTGCTACTTCCTGTTATTGAGATCGCATCAGAGAAACAAAGGGAAAGCACGCAAATTAGAAAATGGAAAATAAGATGGCAGGAACAAGCCAAATATATCAGGAATCACAGTTAATGTGAATTGGGGTTAATGACAATTTTCAGTCTGGAGTTAAAAATCTAATTGCATGCTGTTGATAAAAGAGATACTAAAATAAAACTCTACCAGGAGGCTAAAATAAAAGGATGTGAAAACATTTGCCAGGTAAATGCTAACAAAAAGAAACTGGCAAAGCTATCTTAATATCAGATAAAACAGAATCCCGACAAAAGGCATTGTATGAGACAAAGAAAGATATTTTATATTAATAAGGGAGATTGTATAGGAGAGTAAAGAAAATATGAGCCAGTAGAATGCTTATCATTGTCAAAACATAGCGTTTCAGGCATTTAGCTCCCTTAAAGGACCCTATTTCATTCTCTTGTGTTGACACATACTCACGTCAGCCAGCTTCAAGTTTGCTTTGAAAAACTGGATTATATTAAAACCAGGCACTTCTATTCAGCAAAATATACTATTTAGGGTGAAAAGGTAAGTCAAGAGTGGGAGAAGATATCCGCAATACATATATCCAGTAACTGGAACTCTCATACGCTGATGGTGGGAATCCAAACCTGTACAATTATCTTAGAAGACTACTTGGCAGTATCTACTAAACCTGAACACATGGTCCAATCATTGCACTCATGAGTATATATCCAGTAAATATGCAAGCATATGTTACCAAAAGATATGTACAAGAATGTTCATTACAGCATTATACATAAGAGCCAAAAACTGGAAACTCAACTCAAATATTCACCCACAGTAAAATGGATGAATGAAGGTAGTAATATTCATACAATGGAATATACTACACAGCACGCAGATGAACTATAGCTATACAAAACAACATGGATGAAGCTCACAGACAAAATGTTAACTGAAAGACACAGAGGAGTACATATTGGGAGCTTCTCCTTATATAAACTTCATGAACAGGCAAAACTAATGCCCTGTTAGAAGTCAGGATAATGGTAACTTTGGGAAGGAGGAAATAGTGACCAGAAGGGGGAATCAGGAGAGCTTCTGGGGCGTTGATAACGTCCTATGTACTGATCTGTTTACTGTTTAAACAAGTGCAGTCACCTTGTGAAAACTTATTCCAAAATTCTGGGTACTTTTTGGAATATGTTATACTCTAATAAACAGCTTTTTTCATTGCACTCTATGACTCTGTGAAAGTAGTATATCTACAACTTCAGTTTTATGCCAAATCACATATATTGCTGCCACCATTTTTATGCCTTATTAAGAATTTTATCTTTTTTTTCCTACTCTTAGCTCAAGCTTAGCTTCACACACTTCTCTCCATGAATGCCCCCAGCTTATATCTGACCTGTACAGGAGTCAGTAGTTTCATGTACTTTTTAGAAATGCATGTTAAATGATGCTATTGCTGGGACTTCCCTGGCGGTCCAGTGGTTAAGACTTCCCCTTCCAATGCAGGGGGTGTGGGTTCGATCCCTGGTCAGGGAGCTAAGATGCCACATGTCTCGTGGCCAAAAAACCAAAACATAAAGCAGAAGCAATACTGTAACAAATTCAATAAAGACTTTAAAAATGGTCCACATCAAAGAAATCTTTAAAAAAAATACATGATGCTATTGCTGTTGGTTCTGCTTTCTTTCAGATGCGACATGCAGCATTAAGAATGGCAGATGCAAGCAGTTTTGTAAAAAGGGCGCTGATAACAAGGTGGTTTGTTCCTGTACTGCCGGATACCGACTTGCAGAAGACCAAAAGTCCTGCGAACCAGCAGGTCAAAATCTAAATAAGTTTTTTTTTTAAGCTCGGCAGATACATTCTCCAAATCCATATTTGAACTTTTTGCATTATAACTAACCTACATAATTTTATGCCCTACTTGTTTCTACTTCCTTTTGAAATCATAGAAAAGACTAGTAGCTTGGACAAATTAATTTTTCAAAATGCATCATCATTTTAAATAGAAATTCTGCAACTGTCTTCAGTTTGAATTCTTTTCTGTCTGATTTTTTTCTCTGACCTTTATATCATGAAGCAATCGATTTGTGTGATTTCTGTATGCCTATTTGTAATTCCCCAAGTCAAATTAATGTAGTAATCCCATAACATAAAAGATACGTACGTGACTGACTGATAGGCTTCTAGTACAAGGATAGTGAATTTTTTTTTTTTTTTTTTTGTTCCTCTCACTGCTGTGGCCTCTCCCGCTGCGGAGCACAGGCTCCAGACGCGCAGGCCCAGCGGCCATGGCTCACGGGCCCAGCTGCTCCGGGGCATGTGGGATCCTCCCGGACCGGGGCACGAACCCGCGTCCCCTGCATCGGCAGGCGGACTCCCAACCACTGCGCCACCAGGGAAGCCCAAGGATAGTGAATTTTAAGCATGATCTGTCCGGTTGTGTCTGGCTTACTCCAAGAAAGTTATTTCCTATCCTTGGGTCTCAGCTGAGTTTACACGCTTGGCATCACAACAGTTCCGACAACCATCTGTTTTAAGTTGTATCAGGCTGATCAGCACAGTCCGTCTATACAGCAGTGGACAAAGCAATGTTTCCCACTCATGCCAACCATGCCACCATGTTGACAGCTGACTGGTGTGTTCAGAGCATCTCCACTCCAAACTCATACTACTCTTCTCTGAAAAAGAAGGCAGTAGAAACTTGGATTTTGAAAAAAGCAGGTTCTGCGGGACCAATTACATTTGATAAATGAGGGGTCTTTTTGAAGCAAACTAGATATAATTTCTTTTGCATTTCTAAAGCCTGATATCTTATTAAATTGGTACATTAAATCACGCACCATTCCTCTGTAACTGGGTTCGATACCTATCTCAGCAATGCACCCGGCAGAGGAAATTAAAGGCAGCATCAGAAGCCAAGAGTATACATGCTGCACTAAAATGAAGAGTCTCTAATGCTTCAGGGGCCTGCCTGCCTCCTGTCCTTCTACCTGGTTCTTGACATACACTGCTTCAAATTAGCCTACCTAGGGAGGAGTGTGTGCGTATATCTGTTTTAACCTTCGAAACCTAACTTCCAGTGTAGACAGATAGCATACATAGTAGCTAAACCCTTATAAGCCCTTCTCTGTTATAAGCGAGGAAAAAAAATGGAGAACCACCTCCAACTATTAAGTGTTATATTTGAATATAGCCTTAGCTTTAGCAGAATAAATAGGCCAAACCTAAAATAAACTTTTCTGCCTTTCAATAGTAATGGTCCCTTTTCTCTAGCTATTGTTGATGATTTATATTTATACATAAGTATTTTGAACTAATTTCTTGTTTTCCCAACCACATGCTGTCTTCATGATACTCTGCCGCAGCTGGTTGCTATAGAAATGTCTGTTATAAGGAATGTGGATAGAAGGAAAGTGAGAAATGAAATGTGAGGTGACTTTGCTGGACTACAAATTTCCATTCTGGTTGTCCCCAGTGTTTCAGTAGATGATTTCTTTTCCTTAGGAAATAAACCAGCCCAAGGTAAAAGGTGGCCAGTGCCCAGGTAGATGTGGCTGTAATAATCATATCAATAACTTATTTGGTTAACACTCAACAGCCAGGTAATTAAATCACGATGATCTCTCTCCAATGGATACCTAAAGTCCACCTTGGAATCTAGAAGGCATTCTGGTCTACAAAAGAAACCCTGGGAATTCCCTGGTGGTCCAGTGGTTAGGACTCTGCACTCTTACTGCTGAGGGCCTGGGTTCGATCCCTAGTCAGGGAACTAAAATCCCATAAGCCACGTGGTGCGGCCAAAAAAAAAAAAAAAGAAAGAAAGAAAGAAAGAAGTCCTGTTAACAATAAGCAGCAGACATCCCATTTACCTAATTCTAAAATCAAAGTTACATGGCACCAGATTTCCCTTCAGGGACAGTACTTGAGAGTAAGGCTTTTTAGCAAAGAAACTAAACAGAACGTCATTAGACTTTATAAAAGTCTTACAAAATTCAATTCTGGAACACCTCTTTTATTTCCATAAAGATGATGGATTCCTGAGCCAAATGTCCTTTTCATGAAGGGTTTGAAAACTTTCCATGAAAATAATTCAATTAACCTTTTAGTTTTAGACTATATTCATTGATTTGATTTTTAAAAAAATATCGACGGGCCTACTTCTCAGAAGTGACAAGGATGGGCCTCATTTTCGATTTTTGTAATACAAGTTCTGCTTGCCAATGAGAAATACCAGAACACTCATTTTTTTTTTCCATTTGTCTAGTGCCATTTCCCTGTGGAAGAGTTTCTGTCTCAAACACTCGTATGAAGTTCACCCGTGCTGAGACTATTTTTTCCAATATGGACTATGAAAATTCTACTGAAGCTGAAATAATTTTCGATAACATCACTCAAAGCAACCAATCATCCAATGATGTCACTCGCATTGTTGGTGGAGAAGACGCCGTAAGAGGTCAATTCCCTTGGCAGGTACTCTATATTTATGGTGTGTCAAAACCGGAGCCCAGCGGGCAAGGGCCAGGCCAGGTGGGAGGCTGAGGCTAGGACATCAGACAGACTTATTGGGATGAGGGAAGTATTTAGGCAAGTTTCAACACTAAGCCGGATGAGGAAGCCCCGACAGGTGAGTAGCCGGTGAGAGAGAAGTCCAGGGACAGCTACCATACAAGGTCAAGAAGAGTTTGGCGTCAAGGAAATAGCACAGCAGGATTTCAGACAAGCAACAGGGAGGTCTGGAAGCGAGGTCACTGGTGCTGGGCTTCTGGGTATTACTTCAGCTTCAGCCCCTGGGAGAACTGATGAGAGTCAGAAAGTCTCTAGGTCCAGAGAAACTGAATTATTTCGAAGGCATTTTTAAAAGGACTCAGGAAGGATTAAGACAAGAACTGGGTTACTGGAACCAGGGCATATGAGACAGGGGCTTGGTCAAAGGCTGTAGTTCTCAAAGTGTGGTAGCATCAGATTCACCTGGGAACTTGTGAGGAATGTAAATTTTCATGCTACGCCTCAGACCTACTGAATCAGCATCTCTGAGGGTGAGGCCAGCAGTCTGTGCACTAACAAGCCCTTCAGGTGATTCTGACGCACTCTACAATTTGAAACGCACTGGTCCAAAGGAAACAAACTTGTTATAGAAGCTAGGCTCCAAAACACCAAACAGTAGACTCGTGGTACCTAGTCCCACATTTCTCCAGGTGTGATCTGCAGACAACCCACATGAAAATCACCTGTGCACATTTTTGAGGTAACAGCCAAGGGCTAGATTTGATACCCATCATTTCAAATCGTTTCACGTCCTCCGTGCTGCACACTTAGTGTACCTGTTGTCTCCTTCCTATGGAGCCCAGCTAAGATCATTAGGAATGTTCAAGATCACTCATCCACACCTGTGCACATACAGGTTCACTCGCTATTTCATCCATATGAAGTAAGATTACTGACTGAAGAGGTACCAAGCGCTACGTTTTAGTTTTTTCCAAAAGTGAAGAGCTGTGCTACTTGCTAGGATACTTGAGAAAGACCCTGCCATACTTTCACACTGATGCCTTCCTCACCAGAGAACCGTCTCTCCACACCCACCTCCACCCAGTTTCTCACAAAAGGTTACTGGGTTTCAAAAATAGGAGACAAACTGAGTGTGCAAAAGTCACTTTTAGACAAAATAAGAAAGAAAACCAACCAGAATCTCTCCCCGTTTGTGGATGAGTCAGCTCGACCATGTCACCATCAATCTGCAAGGTGGAAATGCTTGATCTGATTGCAGACAAGACTGCAACACACCTGCTGCAGCCCAGGCATCAAGAGAAAGCTAGCAACAGCTGGGGTTTCAATGGCCAAACTAGATCTGTGGCTCTGACATAGGAAATACTGTTTAGCAATATCACCTAGCAAAAAAGTGATTCAAAATGCTGATGCGTCAATAAAAGGGGATGGGAAATAACGCGACCACGTGGGTGAAGCAATTCCACAAAGCAGCACAGACAGAGTTCACTTTCCTCTGGGGTAACAAACAGTTTGAACGAACTGGAAATGTCTAGTCTGTTAAAGAAAAAGTTTAGGTGAGCTGTTTGCGAGACCTAGAGGGCCACAAGAGAAAGGGGACGACAACTTTTTCTTTGTAGACTTACGGGTGAAAGTTCCAGGCAGGCAGGTCGATACTGGCCCCAGTTAAGAAAGCCCTTTCCAACCACTTGGGTCGGCCGCGTGGGCTGGGCAGCTCGGGGAGGAGATTTGGTTCAACATATGTTCGTGGAATTGTTGACTCGAGCTGCTCTGTCACTGGGACGACAGCAGCGGGACAACCCCATCCCGGAGAGCATCGAGGGCTCGGGCTCCCCTGGTGGGAGATGAGACAGGACAGGCTAGGGACCGCAGCCACCCCGTGCAACTCTGAGACCCTAAGAAGCGAGCTTCACCTTCCGCGCAGCTTGTCCGCGGCCGCGTGCATTTCTTACCTTATTCTAGGGCTTTCGTCTCCGCTTCCCGGCTAGAGGAGAAGCCGCCGCCGCCGCCACAGCCACAGCCGCGCCGGGTCAGCCACAGACGCTTCCCAGAAGCCCCTGCGCTTCCGGCCGCCTTAACCCCCGACCCCCAAGGCCAAAGGTGAAGGCAGACTTGCCTGACCTCTGACCTCTGACCCCACATCACAGTGACAGAACACCCAAGAAAGGAGCGGAGGGAGGTGTGAGGCCAGTTTCCTTCATTTTCCCTCCAGATGCCCAGCGCTGGGCTCAGAGCCCCTGGAGAGCTCTGGGGACGGGAAGCAGGGACTCTGCAGGGCCACTTAGGAGCAGAGAGAGGAAGCTAGAGGGTTAACTCTTATATAGGAACAGAAAGGCTATTTCCTAGAGTCGGTATATCCTTAGCAGAGTGGGAAACTGAAACAGAACTCGGGGCTTCCCTAGTGGCGCAGTGGTTGAGAGTCTGCCTGCCGATGCAGGGGACGCAGGTTCGTGCCCCGGTCCGGGAAGATCCCACATGCCGCGGAGCGGCTGGGCTCGTGAGCCATGGCCGCTGAGCCTGCACGTCCGGAGCCCGTGCTCCGCATCGGGAGAGGCCACAACAGTGAGAGGCCCCGCGTACCACAAAAAAAACCCAAAAAAAACAGAACTCGAATTTCATACAGCTACAAAGGGAAACAATGAAAAATGTGAACATTAGAGTTGGGAAATCGCAACACCTGTACCATGAGACCACCTTCATCAACAGCTTAATAGTGAGAGATGTGAGGAAGTAGCACTGTGTTTCGGCTTTCTAAAGCTTTTATTGGGTTTTGGTCCCATGCACTTGACCCTGCCAGCCCACAATTCTGAGCATGCGCAAGCCTGCCCCCAAGAGCTCTGTCCTCCTCTTCTGCTTTGAGTTAGGATCCGACTGGCCCTGTGTGTGAAGTACCAGATCTTTCTCTTTTGTTTTATCATGGGCCTCAGACTCTGTATTAGCCATAATTATTGTACATTTAATAATTTGAAGATCATTCTATGAGACTGATAAAAACGGAATACAATGGAAACCAAGTAGTTAAGCTTTCCTTAATCCTTTATATTAGGCTGTATCTATGCAATTGCCTGTATTTAACCATTTTACCCAGCAAAATATGTCTTGAGAGGCAGTCTGTCTATTCCTTATTCTATTCTTGGCCTAAACAATCTTTAAAATGTCTTAGCATTTTCCCCAGTCTTGGCTTTCCTCAGCTTTGGGCTGAAGCTATCCTTAAAGGTACCCGAGCACTTGACCTATACAGCTACCTACACAGACCCAAACCTCTCATGTGATTAGGATACACCCCCATAGCAGACAACATGCAGTTACCATCTGTACGAACCAGAACTTCCTCTTTTTTTGCGGGGGGGTGGGGGGGGCGGGGGGGCTGGGAGGAAGATGCTACAGGAAGGTCCTAAGGCTATAGATATATCTTCACTTGGAAAGGTGATCCTCTATTTTTCCTAGCTCAGATGATACAGCTCCAATTAGCAGAAATGAAAACATAACATATGTAATCTCATCTGGCCTCACAAAACTATTTTGAACAGAACATTTAGACAATTATTCTCTAGGATGGTTTGATGAAGTCTCTTTCAATGACAAGTCTAGTTAACCATTAAAAGCCAAAAGTGAGCATCCCCTCTGTGCCCAGAAAAATGAAGTAGGGCCAAGGGCTGGGCGAATCACACCTGTGGGTATAATAAGCTGTGCATCATGTAGAAATGGTTTTGCTCTTCATATGAAAGAGAACAAGTGTGCAAAGAAAAAATGTTACTGTAAAGCTGGAGGTGGCTAGGTAGGGAGAGTGAGGGTTTACTGAAATCACAGGGAAAGGCCAAGTTTGAGTTAAAAGGTTAGGAAGGGAACAACAGGGCAGCAGCTATCACTCTAGGCTGGCATTGTCAGTGAAGAACGTCAGAACAGATATGTGAATGTGTGTTTTGCAGATGTGTGTGGGTGTGTGGGTGTCTGAAAGAGAAAACAGGCTCCTGTTAGGATGTGACAAACATGAAAATGTTTGACAGATCAGAACTCCGACATCCTTGCTCAGAACATATGCTTTCCCATTTTTCCCAACATTCTCCAAAGTGATGTCATACAAGAACTTGTCCTTCGCCAAGCAGACAGCTCATACCCAAACAGCTAATATTTAGATAGCTGTGATCCTGAGGTAGCCAAGCAAACATTCCAAAACCAAGTTGCTTGTAATATCTTTAAATGCAAATGTATTTTAGGGCTTTTTCTCGGCAAAGATGTTTGCTAAAATTTCTAATACCAATCAGGAATGGGCAAAAAAACGCACTTCGGGCTTAGAAGAATACAACTGTATTTCTCAGTCATGCACCAGAACATCGTGGATGCTCCGGGCAGCAAATCTTTGGCAGGAGTCAGACTAGCTACATCAGATTAGTCTCTGTGCCCAGGGGCTGTGGCTATCATTCACTCTGGCCTAACTAGCCCATTAAGCTGAGAGCTGTCCAATTCACCTCTCATATAGAGGAGAAGCACCATTATATCATTGCATGTGAATGCTTAACTCCAGTTACTTGAGTAAATGTATTCAGTTGTAATCATTAGGCCCAGTAAAGAACAGTGTTACACAAATTTGCTTGGTGACGAAACTCACCTGAGGTCTGGGCCAGCTCCATGAGCTGGCGACCAAGTGCACTTGCACAGGGCCCTGTCTTCAAAAGGTTCCCGCATTTGTAGTTCAATGCTTTGCATTTGTGTTTTGTAACTCAAGTTCAATGAGACAATGGAGCATGCGTGTGCTGGGGACCTGGAACCTCAAGTCACCACACTCTTACCTCTCAGCACCACCCAGGGATGGATTCTTGACCTCCCTCTCCCCTGTCCTGTGGTGCCTTGGCTAGCTCTGTCTCCCCTTTCCACAGCTGCCCAGTGACCACTACCACCCCCAACCCCTGGCTCACTGGCAGATGCCACCTCCTCACCCTCAACAGCTACCATTGTCATCCTCCTTCGGCACAGGCACAGGGAGGGTTGAGGCTGGGTGCACAGACTCTATGCCATTTGGGGACAGGGCGTGGCCACATGGCATCTCAGGACCAGAAATGCATCATAGCACATTTGGAGGGTGAATGGCAGGGGCAAACCTCTTGTCCACCTTCATTCCAGGACCTGAACATATCCTGGCAGGGAAGTTGAAATCCCTTGGGAGTCACTGCTTGCTGTTGATTGCTACAGTGGACCAGTGGGAAAGACTGACTTACCCTTCCCCCCCGCTGGGGCACAGGGCATCAGCACAGGGCTGGCGGAAGAGGGGACCTGGCAGCTGAGGGCTGCGTTTGTGCTTGCGTGCTCGATTTCAGGCTGTAGTCCCTGGGCACCTGTGAGGATCTGTGCTCGCCCAGCGAATATCCCCCATACCCGAGGAAGCACAACTTTGAATAGTAAATTCAGAACACCATGATAGGTTGTGAGAGACCACAGAAGAAAAGAAAAAGTTTTGCATTTTAGTATCTTCCGTGACACTTTTTCCTCGCTTTTGAACAAGGGACCCTGCATTTTCATTTTGCAACAAGCCCTACAAATTATGTAGCCAGCCCTGCCTGGAGTGAGCACTTTTAAAACAGAAAGGTCACCAAGCCTTGGGAATTCTGAAACCGAATTTCTCAAATTTAATTATGCATAAGGATATTCTGGAGATCTTCATTTTCTCCCATCCCAGCCACCAAATATTCTGATTAAGTCTGGGTGGGCTTCCAAAGCTGCATTTTACAAGCATCCCAGATGATTCTACAGCAGTCGGCCCACCAAGCACACTTGGAGAAATACTGGGTGCTTAGAAGCCTAGACTCTGAAGCCAGGCTGACTAGGGTTTGCATCACAGCCTCACCACGAACTAACCTTAACTAACTAACTGCATAGCTAAACTTCAGTTTGCTCATCTGTATATGGATATGTTACTGTCACTCCACAGAGTACATAAAACACTTAGCACAGTGATTATCCATAGTAAGCAATCAATACAGGTTCAAAAAAAAATTAAGATTGTTAAATCTGGGCAATGGGTACACTGGTGTTTATTATATTGTGTGAGTTTTCCTATATTTTTACTTTTCAACATAAGAAGCAACAGCTAGAATGAGAGGGAAACCTGAGTATGGAAAAGAGGGTCAGAGCCTTGCAGTGAGTCAGGCCCATAGGTCTCCAGGTAGGAGGCTAGTGCTTTGGTGTCTAGGATTTAGCAAGTGTTCCATAAACTGAATTCAGGACAAAAAGAATCTTCACTAGAATATGCCCCCAAGGACCTTCTCAGACTCACACTTGAAAGGAGTGACCACACCCCTTCCCTAGTTTATTATGAATGGGTTTATGCCTGGGGCTATGTGTGCTTTAGTAAAAGGTCAGCAGTTCACAAGGGCTAGTCAGGGCCCACAAAGGGTTTACCAAATGTTAGTGTGCCCTCTAGTGTTCACACTTCTCAGATGGATCAAGGCCCTTGCATACACAAGAAGTGAAATTCTCCAACTTGATCTAGACATTGAGGTGGTAAAAATATTCATGAACCACTCTGGCTATACAATGAATGTACAGATGAAAGAATGGATTGGCCTCTTATCTAATAATGTCCAGGGTCAAAGCAGCACCCAAACACTTTTGTCTGCTTTGTCCCCAAATCAAACATAGCTTAATAGACCTTTTAGGACAGAGGCAGCTTACGGATCCAGTTGGGGGAGGAGAATAGAGTTGGGGGAGACCGGAAGGAGTAGGCGAGTTCTTCTGTTGCTCACTGCCTGGATGGCCATAGCACAGCCCTTAGGGATGCCATAGGTCTCATTTCATGTCATTCTGGTTTAGAAAGGGCTTGAAAAGACGTCCTGGAAAAATCAATAGTTTTTCTCTTTCAAATGATCTGTAGCAAGGAGATTTCCTCGTGCAGGGACAGAAGACTCGGTAATAACTATTGATCCCCAGGAGTCAAATAAGTGCGTTTCTGAATGTACCTGCCATATCCCCGTGAAGCAATTCGTGCTATCAGAGAACCTGACTCACCTGGAAAAGGAATCCAAGGGCCCTGAATCATCAAAAGAAGCCATTTCCTCACAGTTGCCTCATCTAGTGCTCCCCCTGGCTATCACTGTTCATTCTGTTCAAGAGTTTCAGAAATGGCTTTTTTGATTGTGCTCCAGAAACACTAATTCATCTTCAAAGCTGACACTTTCCAGAAACACTCCACTTCTGCCAGCACCTAGAAGCCAATATTTTGCCCACTCCTCTAAACAGCACACATGGGTTTTTTTGTTCTGCATCAAATATATTATGTAGTAAGATTCATAATTTTGTTTCCACAGGTCCTTTTGAGTGATGAAATTGATGGGTTCTGTGGAGGTTCCATCATTAATGAAAAATGGGTTGTAACTGCAGCCCACTGTCTCAAACCTGGTGTTAAAATTACTGTTGTCGCAGGTAAATAAAGAATGATAGACGTCTGCAACATCCCTAGATCTTCTGCATGACTGCTAGATCATACTTTACTAAGGTTTAATAAGCTCATTGCTAAATAAGTTGAACTAGTGGTAGGGGGGCCATCTTTTCAAAATCCAATGTGTTCCATCCTCCAAGCCCCCCATCGTTCTTTTGGCGGACCTTTCATGTCAGTGCAGTACAATTAATCTATTGATGTGTCCGTTTCCCCACCAGACTGCGCCTTCCCAAAAGCCGTGTCATATCACTGATTCTTGTATCCTTGCACCTGGCACAAGCTGCAACCTGCCCTCAGTTAACATTGAATGAATGACCAAATGAATGTATTATCTGTGCTCAAAAAAGCGGCCAAAATCTTTGAAGTTGGGAACGTCTAGGATAATTCATAACAAGTCGATTCATTATCGCCTGTGAACCATGTAAGACTTGTAACAGCATGGGTGAACAGCTCCATCTATCCGATGGTCCTGAATGGCTTTTTGGTCTGAAAAGTATGCATCGGCCCTCATTACATTTTACCAAAATCGTAACAATATAAGATCTTTGACACTTGACTGCCAGGTACTTCAATGATGCTAGGTGGACACTTGGAAAACGTGTTTCTTTGTGGGAAAGACTGTGATTGAAAAAGAAATTTCTTTTCAATAGGTGAGCATAACACCGAGGAGACAGAACCTACAGAGCAAAAGCGAAACGTGATCCGTGCTATTCCTCACCACAGCTACAACGCATCTGTTAATAAGTACAGCCATGACATTGCCCTTCTGGAACTGGATGAACCCTTAATGCTAAATAGCTACGTAACCCCTATTTGCATTGCTGACAGGGAATACACGAACATCTTCCTCAAATTTGGATATGGTTATGTGAGTGGCTGGGGGAGAGTCTTCAACAGAGGGAGATCGGCTTCAATTCTTCAGTACCTGAAAGTTCCACTTGTTGACCGAGCTACATGCCTCCGATCCACAAAGTTCACCATCTATAATCACATGTTCTGTGCCGGCTTCCATGAGGGAGGTAAAGATTCATGCCAAGGAGACAGTGGGGGACCCCATGTTACCGAAGTGGAAGGTACCAGTTTCTTAACTGGAATTATTAGCTGGGGCGAAGAGTGTGCAGTGAAAGGGAAATATGGAATATATACCAAGGTATCCCGGTATGTCAACTGGATTAAGGAAAAAACAAAGCTCACTTAAAGAAAAATGTATTTCCAAGGCTGGTATATTTGGGATTGAACATGGACAAGGTCCTTTACTCACTAATCACTTTCCCATCTCTTTAGATTTGAATATATACATTCTATGAATACTGCTTTTTCTCTTTACCGGAAGAAGTCTAACTAGAATTCATATTTTACTAGAATAAGTAGATTAGAAAATGTGATCACTAGAGAAATATACTGTGGTGGGAAATTGTGCCCATTCCTCCAGGTCCAGCCCTTGACAGAACTGTGAAGTTAAGTTCTTCATCCTGTGCATCAGGCATTATGTTTCTCCACTGAGGCGACTCCCTGCTTCCCCGTCCTTAGCAGCATTCCATGTGCCAGATCTTTCTCACCTCTCCCATCAAAACGTTAAAATGTATTAGATCCGTATCCAGGATATTTGGTCTAGTCCATCACAAGGCCAGCACCACACTCAAACAGGAAGAACACAGGAGCAGCTGACAGGTTAAAACTCATGGAAAACCCTACTTTTTTTTTTCGGTACCCTTATTCCTGCATCCTTTGTCCTTGCCAACTCCTAATCCCCAAATCAGTTCTGCTCTTTCTCTCTCCCTCTCTCCCCTTTTCCTTACATAGGCATTAAAGGAGGAAAGGGGAACATCATACTGTTTTACTGCTGTGCACAATTATATATACCCATCAAACCCAGACTTGCTCTCAGTTTGGTCTTGGACTTGCTTTTCATCACATAGGGATGAAGTAAGGTGCCTGAACTTGGAGGAAAAGTTCCTCTCAGACAGTCACATTATTAAAATACATACATAATGGAAGGAACGACCCATCAGAATAGTTTCCTAAGGGCTTTAATTGTGTTGTTATGGAGGTTTGACTAGACATGCTTCCATGAAGGCAAACCGGCATGTCATTGCACCCTAGAAAGCGGACATCAACCCAGGTGTTTTGTCCCCTGTCAGAACAGTCGGTTTGCAACTAGAGCTAATAGTCTTCAAGAAAGAATTTGTTGGTGTGTCTCCAGTGTTGTCCAGGGCTAAGGAAGAAGTTGCCCAGACCAGAGAAGATAGGCATCATGCCTCCTCAACTGGTGTATCACCACAGTGAAGAGGGATGCACTCATTCCAATGAGCCAACCAACTCCCTTTTTCTGGTTCATGCTCCCCAAGCCACTTTTTGATTATAATTAGGCCTTCTATATTGTATCTTCTAGAGGGTTACTAACCAACCAACACATCAATCACATCAATACTTCGATCTGTTAGACTATTTCCCTTTGTGAGTTAAACTGGTGTTCTGATTCAGACCTTGGCTTTTCACGAATTTGGGTGATGTGAATCATTTACCCTGCATGTGATTACATGTGGAACTACTGACATCATGTTTTGGACCACTTTGACCCCACCAAGCTGCTGCTGCTCCTGCCCTCATCTCACCTCCGCCAGGCCTTACACTTGCTGATTTCTTTCAAGTTACTCTAGTTAATCCCTTTTTCCTTTAGTCTTTCAAACATAAGTATCAATAAATGTAGTTTTCAATTTCTCAAAGTGTTTCTTGTTGAATCATTCCCAGAGAGAGCTCCCAAACCCTACATTCAGCAGGACACTCAGAAGAATGTGTCCAAGTGCCATATGACACAGCAGAGATTTGATGGTCTGCTGTCACCCAGCTTTCATGGGAGGCAGCATGTGTGTGTCCTGGTGAGGACAGTGGTCTGGATCCACACGGGAGGATTGAGTCTAAACAGCTGTGAATATGCCCTTGGATAAGTCACTCCACATTTTATGCTTTGATTTCTCCATTGTGCAATGAGGGAGTTTGACAGGATGCTCTCCAAAGGCCCTTGTTGACCCTGTGGTAGTCGGTGGGTTCGTGTTCTTCCATTCCTTTATTCAACAAATATTCAAGGAGTGATTACTGTATGCCAAACACCAAGAGTGTTCATTACAATTTAAGTTCACATTTATATATTTTGTGAGTTAACTAAAATAATGTATGTGAATTGCCTTGTCAGTGCCTACTACACTACTACACACTGCTCAGTAAATGTTAGCTGAATCCGAACCCATGTTTATCCCACAACAGGAATTAGTCTTGTATTGAGTATCAGGGGAAGAGGACATACTTAAATAAAAAGAATGCCTGGGATTGAGGTTTCATGAACAAACAAAAGAAATCAGTTCAGCTATTGTTGGCTAAAGGAGAGAGAGGAGACACTGCAATGGTCCGCCTTAGGGTAAGGAGGGTACTGATTCATGCATGGAAACACATTACTTCAAATTTGAATGAGGAAAGGTCTGTAGGCCCAGGGCTCTGCAATTGATAAAAGGGAGCCACTCTGGCCTTGTTGCCATGGAGACCACCCCTTACAAAGGCAGCCATGGGGGCATGGCCTTATACCTCCTGTGATTGGTCTTCCCTGTGGCAGAGGGAGGAGCTCCTGGGCCCATCAGTCTGAAATCCACAGCCTTTTTCCCCATAAGCTCAAAAATGACTGGATTCATTAGGACCCACGTGTGGCATGTTGCCACCACTAAACATATGGGGCCTTTAAGCCCACCTAAGAGCCAGCGGCTTTGGATCCAGGCCCTCGCTAGATTCTACCTAGAGCATTTGCAGTCGCCATATAAGAATCATTAATGCTTTCAAAAATCGCTGTAGCTACTTAACCTAAATTGGCTGAAATATGCTGCTGCAACAATATTGAGAGTGACAGATTAAAATAGAACTCCTGCTGAGTGAAGAAAAGTGTGTTAATGTAGTGCGGTCATTTCAACTTGCTGTTTAAGTATGACTGTTTTGGGTTCTTTTGAATATTAGTTGCTAAATGCTGACAGGAACAAAGTGTCCAATTTTCTCTGCCAAGGGAGAAAGAAAGGTTTTCTCCCCAACTTTCCTGTACCATGACAGACCAGTTCGCAAAATTGCTTAATTATAATTTCTAAACCACTTCTGAAGGCTTACAGTCCAATCTAAGAATGTCTGAGCTGCAAAGGCCCTTAGACACCATCCAAACTCCTCTACCCATTTAACAGATGAGGAAATTGAGGCCAAGATAATGCCAGGCCCAAAGTAACACAATGTCAAGAGCCAGGACTAGAACTCAGGTGTCCCACTCCACACTGTGAAAGTACAGTGCTTTCAATTAGAGCCCTGTCTATATTTTTAGGGCCGCTGGGGCATTCTGCATTGGTGGCAATCCTTTCGGCAAACCTGGGAGTGAAAACTGCCTGAAATTCTTACTAGTGATGCTCTAATTGACAAACAGGTGACCAAATCAAGAAGACCAACAGGTAGCGGGGAAGGCAGAGTGGCGGTCGAATAGCAAACTGGAACCGCAGTCCTGGACTCAGGGCAGCACATGTGGAATGAACCTGCGGTGCTGGTGCCTGGTTTTTAGCCCAGCTGTGAGCACTGGGCCTTCCAGATGTGACATTTGACTTCTAGAGCAAGTTCATCAGTGTCATCTGGCACACAGTCATCCCGGCAACATTTCAACTCGATTCATTGCAGCTGCGCAGGGTAAAACAGGCAGCACGCCGAGACAGCAGCCTACCCCAGAAACTGCTGTTTGAGAGTTGAAGGAATGCTTCAAAGGCCCGCTGAATCTGGGATGCTAACAATGCCGCCCAGCCCTGGGTGTCGGGAAAACAGACTTCAGCAGCTGACAGGCCTGTCTGAGCAAAGCACTCAGGAATTAGGGCTCTTTTTGAATCTGAGGCTGATGCCATTTAGAAACCTCAGGGTTTAAAAAAAAATGCTAGGATCAGTGGATTCATACAAAATTAAAACTTGGGGGAAAAAATCTCATGGTTAAAGCCACAAAAATCATGTTCTGGAAACTATGGAGTCACAGCAGGCAAAAGACTATGGGACCCCTGCCCTTTCCAACCAATCCAGGTACACAGATCACTCATTTTCTCCAAGAGTACTTTCAAGGCAGACCTCTTCCACCGTGTCCGTGGAGTTATGGCTTGCCTTGAGATTTCCAGAGTTAATCTCAACCTCTTGTATGGAGAAAGGTATCAGAAGGGAAGAACAGCAAGCAGACACTTTCTTATAGGTAAAGAGGCAACGGCTTCTGGAAGACAGCCAAGACCCCCTCACAGAATGAGAGTACTATTTCGAACTCCTGGCCAGATCATTTCACCTTGGAAGGAGACTGACCGCTTTTCTGCCCCCTGAACCCCACCCCCACCCTATCCCCAAGAGTTACCTCTTGATTGGAGAAGGATGGAAATAGGAATATTTCCTATATTTTGAACCCGTGTCCCCTGCATTGGCAGGCGGATTCTTAACCACTGCGCCACCAGGGAAGCCCTACTGCAAGCATTTCTAGAAGTATAAGAGTGACAGCATGCAGGGCTTCCCTGGTGGCGCAGTGGTTAAGAATCCGCCTGCCAATGCAGGGGACACGGGCTCGAGCCCTGGTCCGGGAAGATCCCACATGCCGCGGAGCAACTAAGACCGTGCGCCACAACTACTGAGCCTGCGCTCTAGAGCTCACGAGCCACAACTACTGAAGCCTGCGTACTCTAGGGCCCGCGTCCCACAACTACTGAGCCAGTGTGCTGCAACTACTGAAGCCCGCGCGCCTAGAGCCGGTGCTCCACAACAAGAGAAGCCACCACAATGAGAAGCCCGCACACCGCAACGAAGACCCAATGCAGCCCAAAATAAATAAATTTATTAATAAATCTATTTTTTTTAAGTTTTAAAAAAAAAGAAATGCTGCAGTAGATAGCTTCTCCAGATCAATAACCGTGTAGTGGCTTAGGTGCTGACCTCACAAAGTTAAGGGGTCTCACGATTTACACATGACATGCTTTAGTGAAGATCTATATATAAAAATCTATTTTCCTCTTGGAATATATTACAAAAATAAACATGCATTTTCATGATATTAAAACTCAGCTCTGAAAGTAAGTAGCCAGGTCTCTGAGAAACTCAGTGCATGCTTGTTGAATGAACCAATGGGTGAATGAAATGGAAGAAAAACAAGCCATTACTGACTACCTCAGAGCAAAACACGGTTATCTAGGGTAGGAACGAGATATTCAACCTGAACACATAGGGAATATGCCATAGAAAGGAAGAGAGACAAATACAAATACATTCATGTCCTTCCAAGGATTATGAGAGGAGTTATTACTAATGTCTAGGAAATGTAAAAAAGAATCACCCATAAGACCATTGTTTTAGCCTTTTCCTCTCCTGTTAACATTTTTTGCTTTTGTGTTTGTGTTCTCCAGAAGCCATATTTACCTCTCTTATCTGTGCTTTGTATCCTTATTTAGGTAGGTATTTTATTGTTGTACCTTGGTTTTATAGTCAGCTCTTGGCTTTCATTTGGATTTCAAAGTTTTATATCTGAATCAAACTGCTGTTCTTCGCCACAGGGATTTAATTTCTCTCAATATGCCTCCCATATTTTTCATTGCCCACACTCTCTTCCATATGTTGTTTTAGATGATTGTGCTTGAGATCACAATCTACTTTTTTACTTTAGAAATGTAAATTTGGGTAATTGATACGGCTAAAAGCATAGCTACACATTACCTAATGGTGGGTTATAATTCGGAAATCTTAGCACATAAGGAATAAGGAATTTTACTGAACATTTACTATGGGCCTAGCACTGTGTCTGTTTCATAAGATAAAATCAGCCATGTGCTGGAACTGGCTTATACCAACTCACAAATGTGAATTTTGCACATCTCTTTCCAACGTCCAGTTCAGTGACTTCATGTCAGTAGCTTGAAATCCACCATGATAGGGGTATTTACACAACAGATATTGACAAATACTACAAATACTTTTTTTTAAGAGAGCCAGTTGTTCAACATACCAATTGACACAATCTAATTATTTGATTTAAAAAATTCATCATTTTTACAGTCCTGCTACTCAATTATTGCTGAGTGAGCACTAAATACACTGTGAATTAAAATATAAAAGTTGTTTAAGGAAGCAGAGTATTTATGACCTAGAAATATTTAAAAATCAGACCTTTAAAGTTGTTCTCAGGTGGCAACAAGTAGTTATTTTGTTGCAAAATAAAACAATTTTTTTTCAACTTTTCTTTTTTTTTTTTGGCTGTGTCACGCAGCATACCAGATCTTAGTTCCCCAACCAGGGATCGAACCTGTGCCCCTTGCAGTGGAAGCACAGAGTCTTAACCACTGGACTGCCAGGGAAGTCCCATAACATTTCTTAAGTGCAAATATTTCTCCTATACAACACATTTACAATCACACATTGTGAAGTCAGTGAAGGATTATTCTATGGTAGTTTTCTGCTGGTATG